GATGGTGACAAAAAAGGCAGGGTTAAATAAGCCCGTAAATGCAGGAGCCTCTGGAGGAACGTCCTCCTCCTCTGACATTAGAATTTCCTGACCAGGGGGAGGTTGGTTGAGGTAGGAGTCCTCAGAAACAACAGACCCAGAAGGAGAAGATGGAACATAATGAGCCTCCACCTCAGGTTGGGAAAGGGGTTGGAAGGGAAGAGATCGGCCTAGACGCCCTGGCCCTAGTGTCAAGGGCATGGTCGACTGCTTGTTTAATCAATAGCGCCAGACGCTCTTCTGAAAGGAAGGGAATCGGTTCTGCTGAGCGGAGCCCCGCCGCAGTAGGTGTAAAAGTGGCCTCAGGACCCCCCTGCACTGCCCTGGACGTGGAGGGTTGTGGAGCTGGGGGAACCTGTTCCATTCCGCCTTGTGCGGGGGAAGGGAAGCAATCCCCACTCGACCAAACACCCCTGGGAGAAGTTGAAACCCCTAGGGGTAATTCTAAGTTTAACCCCGCAGACCCATGAGTCTCGAGCCTGGCTCTCTTCTGCGCTTTGGAGAACTCCTTTTCCAAGGCTTGGTGCCTCCTGGTAGCTTGTTTATCAACCTGTTTAGATGTTTTGACGGTAGAGCGGCTCTTATGGGTCGCTTTACCAGTGCCTTCCGGACCAGGAGTACCTGATGAGGAAGGCGGGGCACTCATTGAGGAAAGAGAAGTTTCCTCCATTTTCCTATAACCTTGAAACACAATAGGGGGTCTCTGTTATCAGGAAAATGCCAAACTCTGGGTAAGGACAGACAGACTGCAGGGACGCCTGGAACCCAGGTATAATCCCAGTTGGATAAGGACAGGTACACTGCTGGGGCACCTGGAATCCAAGGGAGAAACTAAGTACGAATGACAGACACTCTATAAGGGGAGCCTGGAATTCGTACTGAAAATACTGTGGATAAGAACAGACACGCTGATGGGGAGCCTGGAATCCCAGTACAGTGCCAATTAATCTGTGCCAATTAACCAATTCCAAATGAGGACCAGGAGACACCAAATTTTCAAAGATAAAGGAAGGGATCTGCCTCTATATGCAGAAATGGAGAATACAAAATGGCGGCCTTACTAAAATGGCGGCCTACCTCCCTACAGAAAAATGGCAACCCAGTATTGCCACCCTTGGCAGAAAGGGAAAACTCATTTGCCAATTGGAGACTGTGCAAGCGCCCAATTTGGATTAATTCCTTTCACAAAATTGTTTCACTTAACAATGAATCCCAATTTTTTAGAACCAATTGTGGTCTCAAAATGGCCGCCGCGGCCTATTCCAGGACGAGGCTCAAAATGGCGTCTCTGACACAGGCAGGGCCGGGGAAACTGTTAGCAACCCCCCCCCGCTCTCTGAGGGGCCTCCGCACACCGACCAGCAAAGAAGGGAGGAATCGGGGGAAAATAAACTATTTCTCCGTCTCCGATAGCCGGCCGAAACCACCGATCGTAGTGGAGGCCAAGCGCGCGCGCGCGCGCACCTCCGCAAACAAAAAAATAGAAAATTAGAAAGACTCACAATAATCGCCCACGAGGGCTGCAGCCGCAGCCCCGTGAAGGAAAAAACGACGTCGGAGTCGATCATGGGGCTTCCCCCCCTTTTCCCCGTCGCTAAAAAAGCGCCCGAGTCGACAGAGCCGCAGCCGCGGGCTCCGTGAGGCTTGTGTCTGAGGAAGACAACAGCCGATGTCTTCCTGACGGATCGATTGAAGCGAAAAAATGCCTCCCAGGCCTGTCTTTCCCCGTTTAAACAGCCTACGGAGCCGCCGCCGCAAGCTCCGTTAGGCGTGAGGTGTTCTGAGTCCAACAGCCGTTGGCCTCCTGTCGGGGAAAGGAGCAGCCCCGTTCAATTCCCTGCAAGGCCCAATCCTATTTGAATAATGAGCTTTGAGACTAACAGCCGTTAGTCCCTTTGGAAATACTTACAGGGATCGCTGAGGGGAGATGAAGCCAAATTAAGTGCAAGCACAGATGAATTCTTTAAAATTTTGAATACCTTTCCCCTACCTTTGGTGGTTACTGACATGGACGGATCTCGGTTTGAACGTTGCAGACAGGACCCGTTCTAGTTCAGTTTCTGACCTCTAGTTGCCAGGTCCTGCCCGCACCGTTGAAACCGACTGAACTAGACTAAGGGCAGGAATACAGTCTACTACCCAATGGTGGAGTCTCCATCTCAGTGCTGGAGAATTAAGATCAACTTGTTTATAAGAACTTTAATAGCAGTAATTGGATGGGGAAGGAAAAGCAGGAAACTAGGCTATGCACATAAAATCAGACTTTGTTTTTCTTTGAAGACATTTTGCTTCTCATCAAAGAAGCATCTTCAGTTCTGACAGGATGGTGGGGAATGGAGGGATTTATATTCTTTGCAGACAGCTGATTATTTGCATTCTTTTAGAGCAGGGGTGTCAAACTGCTGGCCCATGGGCCGGATGCATCATAGCAAAACCACGCCCACCCCATTGCCGGCAATGGCAAAAAAATCACCATACATCGCGACACGTCACGAGTTTGACACCCCTGTTTTAGAGAGTCACTGAGAACACTTGAAGGTTTGTTTGTGTCTTCAGGATCACCTGAGTAGTGCAAATGGGTGTGGAGCCTTCTTGGAACTGCTGAAAGGACTGTGTTGTGGAGCTCTGTTTTTTGCAGGATGTTTTCTGCCCTGTGTCCTTTCACTATTGAACAACTAAAGGATATATGGCCTTGCATATATCTGGCAACCTCATTCCCAGCTAAAATATATTAAAAACTGCTTCATATCAATAAAAAGGTAAAGATTTTCCTGTCAGGTATGTCCAATTCTAGGACACAGTGCTCATATCCGTTTCTTGGCCGAGGGAAGTCAGCATTGTCTGAAACCAATTTCTGTGGTCATATGGCCAGTATGGCTATATGCCAAACACATACGGAATTCTGTTACCTTCCCATTGAAGTGGTACCTATTAATCTACTTACATTTGCATGCTTTCAAACTGCTAGGTGGGCAGGAGCTGGGACAAGTAAGAGGAGCGCACCTCGTTGCGCAGACCTCAGGTCTCAAATCAAGGCTGTCAGCTCTCTGACAAGCTTAGCATCTTTAATGGCTGAGACATTGCGCCCCACTCATAAGAGTAATGTCATATTAATAAATGTTGGTGGCTACTAATCTTCTGTATATAGAATTCTGATTACAATTCTACATATATATATAAATTGAAACTCACATTTAAAATTTGCTTTATAGATGTTACGTATTTTGTGATTTCCTAAATATTCTCACCCAATAATCATCTTGTATTTAGTCAGATTCTAAGACTTTGCCCAATAACATGATTTACATCTCCTCCAATGCAATAAACAAAATATTTTTCAGACAAGTACTGAAAAAGAAATCTTATCATAAATTTCTCTTCTTAGAGCACCAGAGATGGCTTTTGATCTCAGGGAATTTGCATATATAACCATAGTTTCTTTGCACAGTAGGGAGCTGTCTAATCCTTGCAGACAAGCAGCATCCTATAATCCCAGGGATAATTTCACTCTGCCAAAAACATGTAACCTTGTGTAAAGAAAATAAAAGAGAAACAAACAAACAAAAAAAACCCCAAATCATCAGCCTGATAAATTGGGTAGAGACAGGATAAAAAGAAATTCCAGCCCACATGAATGCAAAAGCTCTATTATTTTGAAGAAAAATATCTATTTCTAAGTAACAAAATACAAAGAAGACTTTCTGAAAACAGAAATACATAAAGGGAAAAAAATATTTGTTTCCTCCAAATATTCACAGTAAATATTCTAGACCTTAGGACAGGGGTGTCAAACTGGCGGCCTGCAGCTGGATGCATCACACGCAGGCTACGCCCACCCCGGCTCTGCAAAGGCAAAAAACATCACAATATGTCATGATACACCATGTGACTCAATCAAGTGACATTCGTGCCTTAGGACATATTGAAACAATACGGCATCCAACTTAAAAGCAATCTGCACAGGATTCCTATCAAAAGCTTCATCAGCTGAGGATGTAATATAATTCTAGAGGTAAACAGTGATTTCCTTTTGGGCAGTGGTTTATCAATTGCAGTTTGGTATAAAAAGGCAATTGAGCCATCTGTAAATGGAAGGTAGGGTACTTCCTATCCATTATTTTCCCATAAGTGAAAAAACAAGAACTCTGGCTTCAGTAATCTGTAGGAGATGACCAGACTGAGGCCCAAGGATGGGTCAATTGCATCATCAGTCTTGAGTCCCTTCGCACCCACAAGAGATCTAGATCCAAGCCCATTTTGAATTCCATTGACTCTTATCTACCACCAATTTGCTATGACTATTAATAGTTCAGATTCTTCTAGAGAACATTAGCATACAATAAACCTATATTCATTTCCTGCACCTATCTTGTCTAAATAAAATTAAGTGGAAAGCTTAATTAATCTTTAGTAAAAATGAACTGTAAACTGCCCAGAGTCATTGACTGAGATGGACAGCTTATAGAAGTTGAACAATTAAATAAATAATAGATAAATAAATAAAAAGGAAGGTTCTTACTGACAGACTACTTTATTTGAAATAGACTTAGTCAAAATTAAGAGGGTGGCTTTCAAGATGTTTTTGAATAACAGAAAACTTATTGTATCAAAGTCTGTTAATTATTTTTTAAAGTTAATGCTAAGTTGAGAAAAGTCATTTTTTTTACTTTGAAAGAATTTAGTAAACAAATATTACCTTTTACATTTGTCTCTTCAATTATAGTAAAGATCCAAAGAAATATTTTAAGATATGCTCAAAGGTTTTGGAGTGTTTGATTAGATTTCTGCTGTTTTATTGGGAAAATGATCACCTTATCTTCATATCTTGAATTATTTTTTTAAAATATCCCATCACCACTTTTAATCAAAGGTGAATTTTGAGCAAGCCTCAATTAATATTCAAGCTATTTTATTCACTGTTTGCAGATAATGCTGTAATATAAATGCATGGTGTAACTTACCATATTCACAAGATTGCTGTAAGTCTGAAATTATTCTAAGAATATTATTCATTAAGTTTGATCTCTGCTCATTTTCCAGAATACTTCCTGTTGATGGATATGCTGAGTCAATATATGTCAAGTCTGAGAGATAAATACCTGAAGAATTAAAGATTTTTTTTATCATACAGAGCATTGAAATAAAAGTTACAAGTAGACCTTGCTTACTGACTCCCTCATTTAGTGACTATTTGAAGTTATAATTGTGAAGGAAACCCCCAGCCTTCATTTATGATTATTGCAATATTCTGCAGTCATGTGATCACCATTTGGGAGCTTAGCAAATGGTATACAGTTATGACTATTGCAGTGTCCCAAGGTCACACCATTTATATGATTTGCAACTGGCTTGTGAGAAGCGAGTTAAAGGAGAATATGGAATGTTTTACTTAACAGCTGTGGTGATTTGCTTAACAGCTGAAGCAGAAGTGAGGCTGTAAGTCCTTGCAGTCACGTGATTTTTTTGTTCAGCAATCATGGCATTTAGTAATGGTGTTGCTGATCCCAACTATCTGTAAGTTCAAATCAAATAACATCACAGCCTTCCGGTCCTGTTTCAGATAGTATTTGGATTTTAAAGACATGTCATGAATCTGAAACATTCAACTCTGCCCTTACATATAAAAGCTTTATATTTCAATTTGTATCTAAAATGTATTTGCAATTCAACAAAGTATTTAATTAATGCACCAATTATATATTAAAATTAAACTGCTATGTCTAAGTGATTATCATTTGCTGTTTGTATTCAATTATATAAACTTTGTATTTGTAGTAGTAGCATACAAGATTGACAAGGAAAAAGTGAAATAGTAATAATGGTTCTCTTAAAAATATTTTTAGCAAAGGTTTTACTATTTATGTTCCCACAGTTGATAAAATATGCTACCAGACCAATCCCAGGTGTTGTCTACTAAAGACAATGTCTTATTTAAGCAGAGCATTAAATTGTTTAAAGTTGTGAATAAGAAATAATTAGGTGTTATTATATTCCCTGTCCCTTAAATATAAAAATGAAACAAAAGCCCCAGGCACCAAAAAGCAAATTGATCTAAAGTCCAAAGAATAAAAAATGACATGAAATGGGCAACTTTACTGGGTCTCTTTACTGTCATTTCTGGCGTTTCTGGTCAGTCCAAGAAAAATGGGTTGGTGCCTTTCTTTCTCTGTAACCCTCTTAATATTTATTCAATAAAACTTTTGTTTTCGGTATTTCAGTCCGAGCTAACTGATTTGAGTTAATTGAATCCTAAATAATCTATTGGCTTCTAGATGGCCACTCAGTGACGACAGAATATGTAATCAGGAAAATACTGGCTGGTATTTGTGTTTGCCTGATTGTTGGTAACTGGTGTTATTGAACTGGGATGGGAATAATAAAATAAAATGACATCTGTGTTTCTGGCTAAATAAATATTTAAGAAACTGAGTTAGAAATCAATTAATAGATTTTTCACCTACATAAAAAACTGAATTATTTTTTTCTTGGATCAATCACCAAGTCTTTTCTCCTCCCTTCTCATTTAGTATACCATGTAACTTAAGAGTTTATAGCTTTAGTGTCTTATTTTGCCAAAGTTTTTTTTAAACACTATTGCTGTAACAACTACTTCTCATTAAATAAACTTAAAAAAGAATTTAATATGACATTCAGGTTTGCATTCTTCAGGACAATAATTGAATACAAACACATACATCCACAAATCTCCTATTCCTTTTATTCGTGGAAACAGAAAATTGGGTATGTCAGTATGAAAGAATCTCTCCTCTAAAGTAAGCTCATTATGGTAACAGCTAAAGACAACTTTGAGCAACCAAGTAACAATGCTTTGCAATTATAGTACAGTACCTAAACTCTTTATAGTTTCCCCGTCTGCTGCTTGCTTTCCATTCAACTAACAAACAGTATCTCCTTGTTCATATTGTGATTCCCACTCATTTTCCTCTCCCAATTTCAATTCTACTCCAAAAGCCGTGGATAGGAAATCCTTTGGTCTCTCTTTCTCTTCCCCCCTTCCCTTTCTTCAATTACCTCATACATGGGCTGGCAGTTTTTACGTCGAGGCATGCATTTGTTTAAGAAACACACCCAAGTGTGCTGTGCTGTATATGGAAGCAAGTTCAGCTGTTGCTGGTTAGTGCAGCTCAGAATGCAAATGAAAGGAACAAGCACAGCAGCTAGAAAATCTCTCCATCCTTTCTGTTGCAGAAGGAAATTATTTAGATAGATAGGTCGTTCGTTAAGCTAAAAGTGGAGGATATGTACTTGGATATAAATATAACAAAATAAAATAACATAGAACTGTGCTAGCCAACTGTATTAGCACTGGGAGGAGGAAATATACAGAAAAAGCCTCTGAAGTTTTACTTGATTTCAGAAGAAAGAGTCATCAGAAGGTTAGTATTTATATATATTTTTGCTATCAATATGCATGCATTAAGGATGAGATTGCTGTCACTAAATACACAGTTTAGAATTTATTGTACTCCATTGATTTTTATTATAATCCATTATAGAAAGTCATCAAAATACTATTTTTATTAGCTGCATCCTGAGGCAATGTGTGGGGAGAGGACCTTCTCTTACACATTCAATCCTCAAACATAATTAGGAAAAAAATCCATTCTTATAAAGCTTCCATGGTGAAACAGGTTTTAATGTTTTTGAACTAGTTTAATGCTTTAAAGTACTTTTTTTTCCTAACAAAGAAAAATAAAACTAGCAAGTCAGTAACTCTCAGATTCTCTCAGGCATATCAATTATTAGCATGAACATCTGTAATTAAAATTTCATTTAATTTAGTTCTGTTCATGTGCTAATGTAGCACCCCAAATTTTTGATCAAAATCATTCCATTTGTACTTGGAATAAGCATGTATCCACTGTAGTAGATTTAAATATTTTTAAGATTCAATTATCTATTTGCTGCCATAGGAACTAAAAAATTGCTAAATTATCTTGCAAAAGAAAAAAACAACCTAATATAATGTACTAATTATCTTGGCTCAAAATTATAGCCCATGATTGCTGAATACAATAATTCCTGTTGTACCTAATAAAGAACAATACAAATATTGGAGTTTTCTTTGGCACAAAACTAGGTAACAATTACTTTCTATGTTACATCGATATATATTGCTTATACATGCTTAGTCCTGAAAGCATTTTTGCTCTCTTTCAGAGAGTACCATGTGATGTTAGACTAATATATGCAGTGAACAGTTATTCTCCAGTTCTAATTAAAATAGTTTGTTAAGCAAAAAGCAACAAAGTTCAGGATCTTATTAGAACACTTAGCTGTAAAATCTAGGTTTCTGGAATCTATGGTACTCTTCTGCAACCTGGTGCTCTCCGGATTTTTTAAACTGCACCTTTTGTCAGACCCAGCCAACACAGAAAACAGCCAAATTGGAAGGTGGCAAAATATCCAGTGGACACTGTTGAAGCACTGATATTCATGTATTGTAGTTACCATTATAGGTAAGAACCAAGGCAATAGTATTTCATTTTAACAATGAATGTATCAAAAATAATTTCAGAGCTTTAACCAGAACTTTATCAGTTTTTAACTGACTAAAATACAGTATTAGATTGTTCCTCTGTACAATATAAAAGTTTTTAATTATTTTGCTAATTATGCAGTTTTTTAAAAATGACATTTTTATAAATAAATCTGATATAATAGTGGAACAAATATTTTAGCAAATAGTTAATATTGGCTTTTTCAAACTATTAGTATTTAGTTGTAATAGATGTTTACCTGCTCATTATGCTTCAGAGACTTGTTCTGTTAATCTGATAGATAAGACAATGTAAGTATTGTGCACTTCAGAATGGAAAATAGACAACTTATGTTTGCACTTATGTTCTTACTGCTGAATAACTGCCATTTAGTAGGAAATAATTCCATGTATTTCAGTAGATTGTAGAACTAAGTTTTCTGAAAATAAGATATACTTGGTAATGAAGACGTATGATTCTGCATACGTAGATGTCTATAGAGTTAGAAGCAAAGTATTCTAGAATGTTGATTTGGTAAATGCTATTTTGCCTAAATTACCATATTAACCTGTAAATACCTGTAAAAAGTAATCGAACATCACTACAAATTCTTCATGCTGCAAGAATGGTATTCAGTTAAAAATATAATATTCAAGAGAAAGTAATTGAAGTAGCAAGCTATCTTTAGAGTTATTGAAAGCCAGGTATACAGTATCTCCTTTTCTGACTGATTTTCAGAAAGTGAAATGCAGAAGATAAAATTAAATCAAAGTTCTGATATTAAAGGAAAATATTTATCATTCAGTGAATCAGGTTTTTAGATATAAAATCTCCCAATGACTAAAATAGCAGAATTTGACTAAATGGAATGTATAATAAGTTATTTCAACAGAATTAATGCAATATAAGACATTAATATCACTGGGCATTACTATCATTTCATAGTAATTTTCTAGCTATGGTACACATTTTCAATCTACAATTTATTCAGTTCTGTATTATATGATTGTTTTCAAGACAGTCAAGAGATGCTCCATTTTTAATAGTATATAAAAGTAATGAGAAATGTGCAAATGAAATCAAATTGAGTATTTTCACTCATTTAACATCTTATCCACACCTAAGGTTCTTGTATTTCCAAAGAAAATCAAATAACACATGGTTTATGTGCCCAAAGTTGAAATACTTTAATATGTCTTTCATATTTTTTCATTATCTCGCCAACCTATTTTTTTTCTTAGGATCAACTTAAACAGAACAATTGTACTATTTTGAACAAATGCCTTTTTGCCAACTATGTTACTAAGAATGGCTAATTGCTTGTTACAATGACATTTTTAAAAAATAGAAAAAAGTAAAATCAATCCAATAAAGTAATTAAAGATACAAAATAGTTATGTTATTCTAATCAAAGAGGTGCTGAAAATAACAAAGCATCTGTTTGTGTTACTAAATACAGAATAATGCATGTATAAGTAATTGCTTGTTTTGTTTTTACATTATGTGTTTTAATTAAGAGTGTCTCTTAATTAAAGAGGAAAAGGATGGAAACTATTACACAGAAATAAAGGATAGAAACCTGAAAAACTATTACACAG